GTAAAAGTTTTCAGGGAGCTAAATATAGACATGTAATCACAAAAATATGTGAACTACTTTGGAACGTCAAAATGCTCAAAATTAAACAAATAAATACTGCATTGTAAAACAAGAAAGTACATTAAAAAATAATGGATAAAAATATGACAATGAAATTGTGAAATAACTGAAAGAATATTAAATTCTATGCTCATTATTGTGAAATATTATTCTTTTTTTTAATATGTGCATATTCAAATAAAACATTTCACAGTGATTTTTACCCCAATAGTATCTATTCCTGTTGTGTAATTTTTCTTTATTTCCTGCAGTTTTATGGAGGACCAAAACTGACATAATAAGAAATAAAAGCATAAATATATATTTAGTTTTTCTATGTCCTTGCACATGAGTTTCCATCAAGAAATGTATATATTTTCTTTTTCATTTCCCCTAAACATACGTTTTTGTTAAGAAAAGTAGATATTTTGTTTAGTCTTTTTCTTATACAAGCCCTCCTTTTGTCATTGCTAAATTATTTATTTAACTATTTTTTTATTTATTTTACTCATTTTCACCCATTTATTTATTTATTTAATTTTGGCTGAAATGGCTCTCCATAGAATGGCTCTCCATACTATGGAGATACTCCGTGTGCATCTTTATGTTAATGAGGAGAGCTGCCTTCTCTCCTATTGGCCAGTAGAGCTTTGGAACCAACGTCACTGCTTCTGACGTTGTGGGGCGTTTACGTCTCGCGCAGTCGCTCGGTGCATGATTTATGCACAGACCAAAAGAAACTTTGTCCCGGTGGTTTTATTGTGTTACCAACTGCAGTGAAGTTAGTTTTGAGTTAGATATTGGATATTCCAATGTCCGCCTAGCAAGCGGCGTTTAGCTCAAGGTTGATCCGATTTATGAACGATAGCTTCGGCCAGCCGTTCTCCAGCTCCCTCCTCAGCGCTCGGAGGTTCACTTAAGGACTGTCAACAAATTTCCAAACCAAACACTCCTGTCAAACAAATGTTAATAAATGCCTTGTCTTGTGACCAACTCATTCTAAAAAATGGTAATTCATGCTTTTACATGAGTCGCACCGCCCTCTATTAAAATGTCAAGTCATATTCAATATTTTAAATAATTTTAATATTAAATAATATGTTTTCTTCAATAACTTCCATATTATGTGCCATACTGACTAGAAATTAGTGTGTAATTGTTGTACTAAACTGTATGAGACACACGGATGTTTATTCCATTTTAACTCAATTTTATTTTTACCTTTTTTTTTGGTTTAAATGTAGTATTTCTTGTCAATAGCTTCTAGGTCATGTGACCTATTGAGTCAAAATCAGTGTGAAAGCTTGGGCTATTCAAGTTTTTACATGACTTTTATCAGCAAAACTTTTAATTTTTGTATATAGTAATACATCCGTCCATCCATTTTCTAACACCCTTGTCCCTTGGTGGGGCTGGGAGGTGCTGGTGCCCATCTCCAACTAACGTTCCGGGCGAGAGGCAGGGTCACCCTGGACAGGTCGCTAGTCTGTCACAGGGCAACACAGAGACAGACAGGACACACAACCATGCACACATACTCACACCTAGGGAGAATTTAGAGAAACCAATTAACCTGACAGTCATGTTTTGGAGTACCCAGAGAGAACCCACCATGCACAGGGAGAACATGCAAACTCCATGCAGAAAGACACCGGGCCGGGAATTGAACCCAGAACCTTCTTGATGCAAGGCAGCAGCTCTACCAACTGCTGGACCACTGTGCAGCCCTATCGTAATACATTTCTCAGCATTTGCTAGAGAGCTATGTAAAGTTATGTCTGAGAGAACTACATAAGACGGTGTTCTTTAGACATTGATCATCATCTGACCACTGAATTGCTTTAGTTTCACAATATTGAGTCCAATGTTCCACTGTCCTTCATGAAAACAAGGTAAAGGTGCCAGGGGATTTTAAATAAACACTCGCAAGATAACCAAGCAAACAAAAATGAACATGATTAACTAACAGTTCAGACAGAAATGTTGGCTTAATAGTAAACAATCCAGTCTGACCTTCAAAAGTTGATAAGCAAAACCAAATCTCAAGATTCTTAGAAATAATCAGTAGCTTATAGGCAAAGGTTATATTTAAACAGAGAAGATTCACATAACTGTTTTTAAAAAATAAATTTAATTCTGGATAAATGTTTGAGGATGTGAGACTTTAAATGAGTGGTGGGTTCATCTTGGCAGAAGAAAAAGCAGTGACGTAAATGTGGGCTGTCCATGTTACCCTTTTGAGCTGCAGCTGAATTAAAAATGGGACAACCTAAGTAAACTTTTCCTCAGAAAACATCAAGTCAACACAGGCAATGAAGCCTCTGTGGTTTATGTTCCTGGTTCTCCCGGCGTTTCTGAACGTGGAATTTTCCTGGTCACAGAATGGTAAGAAACTGTTTTTTATTCATGTTTTAAAGCCATTGTTATAGAAAACACAAAAAAGCTTTAGTTCAGGCAAGGCAACTCTATTTATCTAGCACCTTTCAGACTCAATCTGCTAAATTATATAGAAGTTAGAAACATGTATCAAACCAACTAAGATTAAAAAGGTAAAAATAAAGAAAATAACTGAATAAGAGTCTTGTATTTTAAAAGAGGCCACAGTGTCAGTACTCCTACAGTGAACAGGAAGCTTATTCCAGATTTGTGGTGCATAAAAATCCAAGAAAGAAAGAAACATTTTATGTAATCTTGGATGTTTTTTATTATTTGTATATTTCTACATTTTAAATAGCAACCGATAATAAAATAAATATTCTTCTTATTGTTCTTTTCACTTGTACCAACATATTTTAAAACATTGTTTTTCCCTTATTCTAATAGAATTTTATTTAACTTTTTTGGTCCAAACCCACCGTTTCATTAACTATATTGAAAGATTAATGCATGTGATTTGTTAGTCATTACACATTAATATTATTATTATTATTAATTATGACTTTTGTAGTTACTTTTATGCCAAAGGGGGCCATGGGGAAGTTGGACTTTAAACAGAGTTTCGTGACTAGTATGCATCAAGAACTAGAAACTTTTTATAGAGGCTAATTGTATGAGGGGAAAAAGTAGTTTATAGTTCATTGTTTTCAATCCAGCTTCATAATATCAGATCTTTTTAAATCAGCCAGCATAATCTAGATCAGAGCCAGAGCCAGTGGAAACACTCTGCAATATAAATTATCAGTGAAAATTATTTACATATCATTTACTGAAGTAATTATGTAATATCCCCTAAATTGTTATGTATGCACACGTTTTTCTCTGTCTTACTTGTTCACTTGTTTTTTTAAACCTGTTTGAAATAAATAAATGCAAATACAAATACTGTAGATACTTATCTTCCAAAACAAGTAAATAACACCAGAACAGTTAAGTACTTTGGTACAAAAGGGTATGTCAGCATTTACGTAATGGAAATAGGCTTGGACGATAAGGCCAGATACACATGACCCTGATATTTTGGGGGTTCTTATTTTAATAATTTAAATCTCTGACATGTTCTCTTATTTTATTAACTCCCTGTTTTACTTTCAGTGATCACTTGTGAAATTGGTGGACTGGATCCTAATCTGTATGTATCTGGACTAACACCAACTGGTGCAACGATTAAACCTGGACACAAGCTGAGTTTTCTCTGTGCTCCTGGTTATCAGCTGGACGGCTCAAAGGAAACTGAATGTTTACCAACCGGCCAGTGGACCGCTTCCTTCCCATCATGCTCTGGTACGTTCATCTGAAGTGATGTAAAAAAGTATTTAATAATGTTTGATAACGTAAATTCTACGTTTAAATTGAAAAAAACATTCAATCAAAGGGTTTTACTGTTTAATTGGGGGTTTTAATCTTCACATTATGTTGGTTTTACTGAGTTATAATCTCTGTGGCTTATGTTGCAAAACGCTGTTCTTCAGCTAAGTTCACACAACAGTTTTAATTGCTTAAGTCAGATTTTTCTGCTAAAGTCAGCTTTTTTCTTCATGCAACCGCAATCCGACTTCTGTGTGAATGGTTTATGACCCCAAAGCGACCGGGATCAATCAATCAATCAATCAATCAATCAATCAAATTTTATTTGTATAGCACATTTCAGCAGCAAGGCATTTCAAAGTGCTTTACATAATAATAATAAAAAACAGCATGTGACATTGAATAAACAGTAAGAAAGAGAAAGAGATTTAAAAAAAAAAGATTAAAAAAGATGTAAAAAATGTGAGAATGGCAATTGGACAGCATCCGAAGAATGTCCAGGTAAGAGGAAATGGTGCTAAAAGCAGGAAAAATGGAATTTAGTTTTTTATTTTTACATGACTTCAAGAAATTTTGTAGGTTGACAGATGCACTTTTTACTACTTATTTAATAATATTGAAACAGAATTGTTAGTTAAAAATTGTTTCCTCTGGTCTGCTCTGGTTTTCTCAGGCATTCCTTGTAAAGTTGAGCCATTGAGTGTCGGACTGAGACGTGTTGGAAGTGCATCCCAAAATCTAGTGAATCCTGGAGACATATTACGGTTTTTGTGTGAAGATGAGTATGATATGGAGGGTTCTGATGAAGTTCAGTGTTTAGACA